AAATCTGTGTGGCGCAACACTTGCGCAGTAATATCCACACCCAACCACACCGCATCAAGAAAGAGACGATAATCATTGAGGCAGCACCGGAGCTGAGTTCACCACTCCACACGAATGGGATCCCTTTCTATTGTAAGCAGAACAATGGCCACTTACTCGTTCAATTCTTCTCCAATTCCCACAAAACCTACGCTTCCGACGATCACAAACAGACCGGTTCATTTGCCTGTCATATATTCTCGTACTTCCGGTGGCAGACAAAAACCCTCCTCGTCTTCTGTCCGAGCTACCCTTACCCCCGCTGCTACAACTGCAGTCCAACCCAATGAACCCACGACCTACCGTAAATCTTCCAAGACTCTGCCTTTTCGTGTAGGTCATGGATTCGATCTTCATCGATTGGAGCCTGGTTACCCTTTGATCATCGGTGGGATTGATATTCCTCATGATAGAGGCTGTGAGGCTCACTCTGATGGTAATTCCTCACTTCCCTTTTGATACATTTGTCCTTATTTTTAGTTCAGTCTTTATGTAAATATTGGGACGTGATTGTTCTTTTGCACTTTGTTGTCTTATCCGTACATTTTATTGGTAATTAATTGAAAATTTGAAGTAGAATTGAATTGATGGGTTTGATTGAATCCTAGTGAGTTGATGATATTGGGTGTTGCAGGGGATGTGTTGCTTCACTGTGTTGTTGATGCAATACTGGGCGCTTTGGGGCTTCCTGATATTGGGCAGATATTTCCTGATTCTGATCCCAAGTGGAAAGGGGCTCCATCTTCAGTTTTCATCAAAGAAGCTGTGAGTTCTGTTTCAATATGGTTCTGTAAATTTTGAGAAACCCCTTTTTTGGTTTTTGTTCAGACCTGAATTGTTCATCTATTCCACCATCTAGGATGTGGAGAGGGGCATGGTTGAATCAAACTTTTGAATATAACTCAAATTCCTCGGATCATGACACAATAATTTATCCATCTTGCGAGAGGAAGAAGGAATATTTAGCAAAAACACAGAAAGGGATAAAGAAATAATAATCTGTTTTTTTTTTTAGAGCGACAATGTGGCCTGGCGCTGCTGCAAGATTTTATTGTTATTTAAGGTGCACTGCAGAAGTCCTATGGTTCACCTAGGAGTTCTTAGGTGTATTGCTCATGTTGTATGAGAATTCTTTGTCAATCTGAAATTGACAAATTGCACAGATAGTGCATCAGTTGGATCTTCAATTCATACTCTCTGCTAAGAGACCTTTGTCCTGAAATTGAGCTTAAATGAGATTGCCAGCCTTAAATTTGCAGGATGAACCTTTCTAAAATTGAGCCTGGATGTAGTTTTTGCAGAAAGCAAAAGTGAGAAACATATGGCCATAGGCTTAAATTGCAACAAAGAGAGTGAAATAGAGCATCATCTTACACATCATATAAACATGGATGTAAGTAGCATAGTCGATTTGACACAGGAACGATATATCTGCTCTGTTTCTTCTGACTTATCTTGGAAATTAGTAAGGACATTACAGATGAGAAACTCTCTGCTTAAGATTTACTTATCAATAACTACAAAGAATCATTCTAGGAATGGTCATGAGATGATGCACTGCAATAAAGGAACCTTCCTAGTATAGTAGGATTTAACCAGATGATAACCATTACTAACAGTTTTGTTGGGACATAATCAACTCTGCTTAATTTCTTTGTTTGAACTATCATCATTAGATGGTAAATATGACTCTGGCTCCTAGTATCATCGTTTAGCTTTTTGTTTTCTGTTCAGGTTATACAAACTAGTCCTGCTTATTTACTGCAATTTGATACATTTCAGGTGAGACTAATGCATGAGGCAGGCTACGAGATTGGAAACTTGGATGCCACCTTAATCCTTCAAAGACCAAAACTCAGCCCTCACAAAGAGGCTATCAGGGCCAACTTGTCTGAGCTGCTAGGAGCCGACCCTTCTGTCGTAAATCTCAAGGCAAAAACACACGAGAAGGTCGACAGCCTCGGGGAAAACCGAAGCATCGCAGCTCATACGGTGATCCTTTTGATGAGAAAATAAAACCTTTCTTTGGATGACATAATAAGCATCGTAAATTCGTAATTGTCAGCTGTAAGCGCGGTCTTTTACCAAACAAGTAATAAATATCGGATTGCCACCGAGTTTGACAATTTATGCAAGTATTTGGTTGGATTGCAATATCTGAATTGTAAGGTCTGATCAACCTTGGATTCCAAATGGGGTCAGTAAGTCAATGAATTTTTTCTAATTCAATCACAGAGACAGTCAAATTTGCCATTCAAGTGTCGATCAATTTTCCCTATTATTATTATTATTATTATTTTTCATATTCCAATTTCAATTCGTTCTTTGAGCATTAAACTTTAAATGGTCGTCCATCACGTGGTAGAACTAAAGCAGTTAGTTCATCTCTCCGTTGTTAGAATTTGATCCATCACGTGGAGAGGGGCACGGTTGAATCAAACTTTTGAAACATAACTCAGATTCCGCAGATCATGACACAATAATTTATCCATCTTGTGAGGGGAAAAAGGAATCTTAAGCAAAAACACAGAAAGGGATAAAGAAATAATAATCAGGTGTTTTTTAGAGCGACAATGTGGGCTGGCCCTGCTGCAAGATTTAATTGCTATCTGAGGTGCACTGCCGAAGTCCTATGGCTCACCTAGGAGTTGTTAGGTGTATTGCTCATGTTGTATGAGAATCCTTTGTCAATCTGGAATTGACAAATTGCACAGATAGTGCATCAGTTGGACCCTCAATTCATCCTTTCTGCTAAGAGACCGTATTCTTGAAATTGAGCTTAAATGAGATTGCCAACCTTAAATTTGCAGAATGAACTTTTCTAGAATTAAGCCTGGATGTAGTTTTTGCAGAAAGCTAAAGTGAGAACATATGGCCATAGGCTTAAACTGCAACAAAGAGAGTAAAATAGAGCATCATCTTAGACATCATATAAACATGGAAGTAAGTAGCGTATTTGGTTTGATGCAGGAACATTATATCTGCTCTGTTTCTTATGAATTCAGATCTTGGAAATTATTGAGGATATTACAGATGAGAAACTCTCTGCTTAAGATTTACTTATCAATAACTACAAAGAACCTTTCTAGGAAAGGTCACGAGATGCACAGGAATAAAAGAACCTTCCTAGTAGGATTTAACCGGATGATAACCCTTACTGACAGTTTTGTTGGGACATAATGAACTCTGCTTAAGTTAGTTGTTTGAACTATCATCATTAGATTGTAAATATGATTCTGGCTCCTAGTATCGTTTAGCTTCTTGTTATCTGTTCAGATTATACAAGTTAGTCGTGCTTCTTTACTGCAATTTGATACATTTCAGGTGAGACTAATGCATGAGGCAGGCTACGAGATTGGAAACTTGGATGCTACCTTAATCTTTCAAAGGCCAAAACTCAGTCCTCACAAAGAAGCTATCAGGGCCAACTTGTCTGAGCTGCTAGGAGCCAACCCTTCTATCGTAAATCTCAAGGCAAAAACACACGAGAAGGTCGACAGCCTCGAGGAAAATCGAAGCATCGCAGCTCATACAGTGATCCTTTTGATGAGAAAATAAAACCTGTCTTTGGATGACATAATAAGTATCGGAATTGCATTCTCCTGTTATAGCCCATTGATGACCACTGTAATCCAATAAAGTTATCGATGGATTGTACTTTGATCAGTAGTCGAATTATGTCAAAAATAAGGTACTAACTTAATTTTTAACTTTTAATTTTTTTTTTGTTAAAAAAAATAAAAAATAAATAAAATAAGTATCAGTAATTGTTAGCTGTAAGCACGGTTGTTTATCAAACGAGTCATAAACATCGGATTGCCACCAAGATTGACAATTTATACAAGTATTTGGTTGGATTGCAATATCTGAATTGTAAGGTCTGACCAACCATGGATTCCAAAGGGGGCCAGTAAGTCAATGAATTTTTTCTAATTCAATCACACAGATAGTCAAATTTTCCATTTAATAGTTGATCAATTTTCCTCTTTTTTTTTTTCCTTTTTTTTTTTTTTTTTTCATATTCCTAGTTCAATTCGATCTTTCTGCATTATACTTTAAATAGTCGTCCATCACGTGGTAGAACTAAAGCAGTTAGTTCATCTCTCGGTTGTTAGAATTTGATCCATTCCAAGTTGGCAAAACCCTAAAATTCACAACTTAAAAATGATGTGTGGACAAATTTACCTCTAAAAAAGTATAAAAATAAATTCTCTTTAAATTATAAATTGAAATAAATCATTTATTTTTTAATATGTGATATCAAAATTTTATTTGTCACATAATTATTTTTTAACAAAAACTTAATGTTATAAGTTAAAAAATAAATAATTTATTTTAATTTATAATTTAAAATAATAATTTATCCTTATAATTTTTTGAAGAATGATTTTATCTTTACTCCTATTTGAGGGTTGAATGTAAGCCTTTTGTCTTCTAAGATTGTTTGTTGTTGTTCATTATGGATAATAAAAGAAACAGACAGAGACAACATTCAGTCAAACTATTTCTTTGAACACATGGTTTTACTCATGTATGATCTAAGAAAATCAGTTTTTGGTTGCTGTTTTTCCAGGTAGCTGACTGGAAAAAGAACAATTTCTAAAATTAAGGATTTAGAATTTTCAACAAGGAATTTTAGACTTTGCCAGTTCTTACAGGAACCTTGAATCACGTTTGACTTTTTAACAGAGTTTCCAAAGTAGGAAAAATGCAAAATGACCGAACGCGCTTCATTGTGCTCATCCTGTCTTGAGTGCTGACCAAGAAAAACGTAATCAGTCTTCATATTTTACTTTTCATAGTTTATTTAGCTTAGAAAAGAGGGAAAAATTTCCCTACCTAAATAAAAAAAATGTGGAGAGAGGAGAAAGAATTCTTCCATTTCTCTTCCTTTTTTTTATTTCTTTTAAATTAAATAAAAGTTTTTTTTTTAAAAAAATTTATTAGATAATGATTCCAACTTTAAAGTTGATTTTTTTTTTTATAAAAAAACTTTGCAGTTGACTGTTTTTCTAAAAGAAAGTAGTCATCATTTTGTATATGATTTTGCTCAGCTGCCAAATTGAATCTTCGGTAAAAAGGAATTTATGTCGTATGGTATTATAATTTGTTGTTTTCACTGAAAAATTTATGGGTGATATT